GACCAATGATGCACCATCAAAACCACATAATTTTGCCAACCACAGGGACTATTTTTGCAATTTTGTCTTATTAGTTGTTGAAATTGTTAAAACGATTCCTCCAAAGCATTAATCCACCATTGGCATTGTAGTTTTATGTTTGTTTTATTAGAAAATATATATGTTTATGGAATATGTATGTGTACAGGTTTTAGATTTAGGCTTGTTATTAATTGTTGAAATTGTTAAAGTGGATTATATGTATTTATTGTGTTTGATTTTTCTTTACTTTATATAAAAAAATATGGATTTTAATGATTTCTTAACTGTCATTTTATCGATAGATTAGTAATGAAATTTTGTGACATCCCTATTTTCACGGCTAGAAAAAACCAATTTGTTTATGCTTTATTTTGAAAATCAGAGTAACCTTTTAAAGAAAAGTGTTGCGGAATTTGTTCCTAGAAAAACATGATAAATACGTTATCAAGAATTTCCAAAGAAATGTATTTTATTCATTTTTAAAACATTGGTATGTCGACGTTAATATGAAAACATAAGCATAAACATAACTTACATTCATTATGACTAGTGATTTACATCTCCTTGATCTCTCAGTGTAATGTAACTTCATATCGACACCTGTGATACAAATAAACTGGTGCTCAGGTTGGGAAACCTGGTGAGTACATATGATTTTCAACCCACAATAATATAATTATTATGTTTAATCATCAAAGAATTAACCCAATTACCCATCCCCATTATCTTTGTTATTCTTAAGGGTCTACCCTAAGAATAATCTATCCTGCATTTAGGGGTGTTCGTTTGGATGGATCGGTTTGATCTGATCCAATCAAGTGAATCCAAATTGATTTCGGTTTTCAAAACATGGATCCGAATAGTCCAAACTAAATTCAAATCCGATCTGATCCAATCTAATTGCAATTCGGTTGGATCGGTTTTTATAATTCGGTTTTAAAAAACTGAAACATTTTAAAACGATATATAATTATAATATTACTCAACTTTACACAAGAAGTGAAAACAAATTATTTAGTTGTGATTTGAAATTTATAAACAATTACTAAGAATATATATTATAGTTAAATATTTTATAGATAGAAAACTTTTTGAGAGAAAATGCATATTAATGTTTTTTTATCATGTGAGACGTTTTGAACCTATTTGAAAAAACAAATTACAAAATTAATAAATAACTATAGATATATATTATAAATAAATCTTTATTCGGTTTTTTTGGATTATTCGGTTCTTATTTTATAAACCAAAACCAATCCGAAATCCAAAATAATAATTCGGTTTTGTTGAAAAGCGATCCAAAAATCCAAATATCCGAACCAAATAGTCCAATCCAAATTGTCCAATTGGATAATTCGGTTTTATCCAAACAGTGAACAACCCTACCTGCATTCGTTCATTCCGAAGTCCATCGCTTCCAGGGTTTATATGACAGGCACTAAGTTAATAGCTGCCAATGCTCGTTCGTAAAGCACTAAATCCATAGCTGCTAATCTTCATTTATCGGGCACTAAGTCCATAGCTACCAACGTTTATCTAACAGGTACTAAGTCCATAGCTACCAGCGTTTCTCTAACATGTACTAAGTCCATAGCTACCAGTCTTTATCTAATAGGTACTAAGTCCATAGCTGCCGATGTTATTTATTAGGCATTACGTCTATAGCTGCCAATGATTACTCATACCATCTTTCATCTTTCATCGTTCATCTACCCATGTTTTACCCAACATATTCATAGATATAAAATACATATACAGTTTAAATTATATAAAACATGTATAAAATCGTTCATCCAGCATATAATGCAAGTATTCAAATAATATGCACACATAGCACGTAATTTTATATAAAATACTTCATATCTATGTATAAGATGAAAGTAACTATGCACTCACTTGTTAAAGTGATGATTCCAAACTCGGACACTGCTTCACTTCTTAGCAATATAATTTCCTTCGACGAAACATAGTATTATTACCACTAGATTTTAGTCTAATATTTATTACGACTAATTATTAGTCTAGATTCGTCATTAACTCAGAGTCTACTTCATGATCTATCAAGTAAGGATCAGGCAGGCAGGACAGTTGGGAGGCAGGACCATTTCGGCATATAGATTTTCTGAAATCCAACAACCAAACCCAACGTGACCATTCTAGACACCTCTCCCGTAACTAGTTCAATTAGTATAACGACTTTGAATCACTGATAAATTTTATTTATAGGTTCATAATAACGATATTATAAGCTATATTTAAAGTAGGGTAGCATAACTTACTTAGCTAGGAGTCAGGCTCTGCAGGGGCAGAACTTCGTCGCTGAATCTTTCTAAGAAAGATTCGTGCAGCGCTTCAGCGCTCACCTTAGTATACTAAAAACTACGAAAGAGAAGTCGAATCACGAGGGACCGAAATGCTCGGAGGATAGAAGAGAAAAACTCTTGAATCAAGAGAATGATGCAAGAAATATGAGAGGCTAGAGGCTCTTATTTATAGTAGTTGAATATTCAAAAACCACCCTCTATATTTACTTAAATGACTAAACACCCCTTTATAATGCATTTTAAATAGATTTAATGATACTTGTACTAAACTAATGTCGAAAGTACTCAACACTAGTCTTATAACGACCGCATCGTCGATACCTTTCTAATGATGATTATGTTATTATATATATATATATATATCTATATATTATATATATATATATATATATATATATATATATATATAGTGAAGATAGATATAGATAGAACTCGATCGAACTAAATGCTTTTCGTCTTATCGTATATAAGAGAAAGGTTGCTTTTAGGAGTGACCTTTTCTCGATTTCAACAAAAACAAGCGATGGTGATCTCACTTTCGAAAGAGAATAGAAAGCGTACTGACTCTGACTGCTATCTACGATGCGATCAGGGGGGAATAGCGCAAGGGCTTAAGTCATCGATTCAAATCCTATCTTTTTTTCGGTATGCCGCTCCGCGAGCAAGGAGCGCATATATGATTTACACTATATTTTAATACGTAAATGTGTTATTAAAAATTATAACTCGTTCATACGAACTCCGTTTTTGACGTTCTTTATATCCACGCGTAGCTATCGACGAGATCTACAACTTTCGATTAGACTCCGTCGGCTAATTTTGAATTTAAGTTTTTGTCAATATTTTTATAAAATTAAATAATTTTGCTAAACTCATAACTCTCTCGTACGAACTCCGTTTTTAACATTCTTTTTCTCAAAATTCATATTTTAAGGAGTACTACGATTTTCATTTTGGTCGCATTAGCTACAAGTCAACAATTCTCTTCGTAGCTTTTTACGTCATACATTCGTTGTGCGCGGCTGACTTTTATATCTTATAAAAATTATATTTAATTCATACGGATTCGGATTTCGACGAAATTTATATTTTCGGGATCGGGCGGACGTATACTTTCTAAATATATAATAATATATATGTTTTGGCGCAATATTTTTACGATTTACGGACGATTCGAGTGATTTTTCTTATTTTATTATATTATAATAATCATGAAACATATAATATTCAAATAATTATTCTTTATTACGTTAAATAGGTTACAATTATTAACCTTAACTGTTACTGTGGTTAAGATTATTTATCCTAGATAATGTTCTATAAAAAATCATTTTTTAACGCTTATTATATCTTAATTGATTGACTAGCCCGAATCTGCGGGTGTTACAAATTTCGTTTACCGGTTGGCAATGAAATATAATAAACATGTAAGTTAAACAACAATTTGTCTCTTATATAAAACAACTTGTAAGTAATTTTTCACCAAATAAATTTGTTGGTAAGTTGTCGCAATATTAGTCTGTCGGAAATCCGTCACAAAACTGGTCCATCGGAAATCCACCACAAAAATCACAAAACTTATTATGTCTATAATGACAGAAAAATACTTTTGTGAATGAACAATCTACAAATACATCGGAAATTTGTTGGGGGGGGGGGGGGAAGACAATTTCGGACAAACTGGCCGTCGAAAATCGTTCATTTAATAGTAGTGGTAATTTGTTTGTTTTCTAGTACTGGATGATGATTACATATTATTCACCGGAAGGACGTCGAGTAGAGCTGTATGTATATCCGTTTATGTGTTTACATAGATATAGATACAAACAGTGGCGAGTCTAGAATAGAAAACCATATGATTCACTAATTTTTCTATAGAAAATTTTCTATACAAATTCAACGATTTTATTGGTAAGGTAGGTCCTAAATTTTTTTTAAGATAGGTCACTAAAAATTTTCTATAAAAATTTTAGATAACTTAGAAAAATTAGGTGGGTCATTGAACCCACCTTCCTTATGCATAGCCTCACCACTGGATACAAAGTGGGATGCTAATGTGAAACCTACCGAAGCAAAAACTAGATCTATTTAGTTAGAATTATAATATTTTATAATACTCCCTCCGTCTCATAATTATTGTCCACAGACAAAAAACATTAATTAATTATCAATAACTTTATTGAATAAAATGATAATTGTACCTTTTTGGTTTATTTAATTCTAATCTTTTTGTTTTATTTAATTCTATCTTTTTGTTGCATTTAATTGTATGATAGGTTACCTAATAATGAATGATATTTTGGTAAAAAAATATTAATTTTTAGAAGTATGCTATAATTATAAGACAAATCAAAAAAGAAAACATGGACCATTAATGTGATAGGAAAGAAGTATCTTTTATAATTATTAAAAACAAATTTAATATAATACATATATAGGCTCAGCTTGTGGGCCTAACTAAGCTCAATGTTTGAAGCTATTATGAGTAGTTCGGTTCGATTACACACATACGCTAGTTACAATCACCATTTATTTATGATGACCCTTTTTTGGACCTCATATAGGGTCAGACAACAAGCATACTGTATATATACAAATTAACAAAATAGTTCTTTTTCTTGGAATCAATGTTCATTCAAAATGCTTGTTTCTGCTTTAGTTACTCTTGAGCTTTGAAGCATGATATGTATTTGGGATTGAACTGGTGGAACCTTTATTGAAGCTCATTGATTGGGAACCAACACCAAACCCTGATCTATGAGTCAAGTACTCCGCCGTGGGTGGCTGAAACTCCAACCTTGTCATGCGGTGGGATGAACCAGTGGAGCCAGTGGAGAGGGAGAGGACTCGATAGCTGTTGTGAAGACTGTGTTTCTTCACGGCATGCATCAGAAATGGTATCAATCCTTCCATTGTTTTTCCTGATGACAAGTAATGGTTGATATATGTGGATGTAAATTTGATGAACGTTTTTGGAGGGTTATGATTTATGAGCTTATGATGATGGTATATATATGGAGAGGGTGGCACATAGGTTGGTTAGACTTTGTCGTATCTTGACTTTGTTGGTAGGATGTTGTTTTTGAACAAAACAAGATATAGACTCGTGTTCATTTTTAGGATATATGGAGTAACTGGGGTGGGTAAGGTAGATCATGGAAGTGGTAATGGTATTCAACCAAAATTTTCAATGGGTGGAAGGGTTATTATTGTAATTTTCGGTGTTGGGAAAGTGGCGGGTAAACTGTCGTTTTTGACATTACAAACTTTATCCCTTATCCCTGTGATGTATTCTTAATACATAATTTTTGTCCACTAGTTTATTTTTACAATTGTAATTATTTAATAGAAAATTAAATACGTCACCAATGAGGCATCAAATGATGCTAAGGCCGTTCTATAATAATAACGATAATAATAATAATAAATGATGTTACGCATGTGCTTCAATCAAATGATGTTAAACGTGCTTCTCAAATAAGTGTTTGTAGTCTCTCGTGCGCGTACACACACGAAAGGCCTGAATAGGTTTTACCAACGAATTCGGGCCACGATCAAAATCCATCAATAAGAACTCCAAGTAATACAGATTTGCAGAACTTAAATTTTGGCTTACACTATCTCCAACTTTACTTTATTTTTAGAATAAAACGTTAGGCTGGAGGGAGTGGTGTCACCGAACCCGCATTCCCTCCACCGCCACATAAGCGCCACGTCAGTGTGGTTTCTTGCCACACCAAGGGAGTGGTGCCACACCAAAGAAAGACAAAAAGGAAAAAAAATTAAAATTTATTGCAAAGACCATTCAACGGTCAAAAACCTCAACAACCAATCACGATTCACGGTAGTCTCTAGCCGTAGTGCGGCCTAAACCGCACGAAACCGCAGTCTGGGAGCGGTGTGCGCGGCTGAGGTGGCACAAACCGCGACCACACCCTCCAGCCTTAGAGTTAATGTAGTTCAACTAACTTTTGTTTTTGATTTTAAATGGTCATTGAACTTTATTTATTTATTCTTTTGTGGCTCCTTAAACTTTCAAATTACGGTACATATTAGGGAATATCCTCAAAAATAAAAGAGTCATCCGGTTACCTAAGTGAGATGGTGTCCACTTTACAGTTTAGTCCATTGAAGTGGTCCATGTGATGCTTACATGGCAGACACATGATATAATCTCAGTGTTGACATATATGATTTTAGCGGTGGTAGGTCGGAAAATTTCTAAAAAAAATTACATCGTGATTTAAAATTTGAGAGGTTGCAACGCAGTGAAGTCGGAACCCTATGTCTGCCACTGGACATGCCATCCACTTGGATTTTTCTGTTATTTTTGTAATTTAAAAATTATATTCTCTCTCTCATGGTTACTTTGACTATTTGATCATCATCTTATGAACCCAAATCAGTCAATTTTCAGTTTGATTCATGTGCATTTTCTCCAAAAGTTTGTTATGGTAATCGTCTTTTTCAAGTACTTACATTCGATTTGCGATTTTAGGGATAAAGATAATGGCCATGGTTTCTTCCAAGAAGAGACCAGAACACACATTACGTTGAAGACATGAAAAAGGAACCAAAGTTATAAAGCTTATAATAAACAAGAAGATTATTCTGACGAATGGTGCTTCGTTTGCAAAGATGGTGAAGATTTAATTGCTTGTGACCACAAATGAGTTTCCGAAAACTATTTCAAGAACACGGTCCGGTTGACACGCCAATAAAGTGAAAGGATTTGACAAGTTTTCATACGTTTACAATAACATTCATGACCACATCATCAGATCCTATAGTCCCTAACCAAGAGAAATCCGATTATGCCAAGAGAAACATGTGGCTTGACTTAACCATGTTTAGAAACAAATGAACCGACCTTAGTTTGACCGGAATTGAGCGGTTATAAGTGGCAAAAAGCTAAGGCGGAGTCATGACGGCGGTAGCTGCCTGAATCCTCGGATTTTAACGATCCTTCTTGAGTTAATAGTAACAACGATAATGGAGGAGGAATTGTTTCTAAAAGGAAACCAGGTTAATGATCTTCAAATGGCGAGAAACAAGCCCTAAAAGTGGTCCAACTAATTTTTTAGTAAAGAAAAGCCATATAGACAATTTTTTAAAATTTAATTATTAAAAAAATAAATAAAAAGCTGCATGGCGTAGGTGCAAGTGCAACCGTGCAACCAGATCAAATTGCGTATTTTCCCATTCATTACAGGTCAAATGCAAGTTCAGTGATTTAAGGTACACAAAATTTTAGTGACCAAATAGTCGGTAGGATTATAATGATATTAACATTAAAAATTGAAAATTATTAAATTAGTGCTAATAGCGATTTATCTTTCGTTTTATTTTATTTTCCATTCTGTTTTTTACACAAAATGAATATTCCAAGTATATATTTTTTTCCAACTTATTTACATTTTGATAATACTCTTTCAATTTAAAACTATGAGCTGAGACAGAACCGACATCGACCCAAAAATCCCGAATATCGAAATTGATTAAAAAACGATACCGCATACCGAACGAAACTAATATGACCGGCAATGGTACTCCAAATATTCATATCTAAGACTTAAATCAAAGTGCCATTTGTGTAACTTTTTAAAACATGTGTCATCAATTGTAAATTATAAATGGGCCTACTACGTAGGGTATAAAAGGGATTTCATTTTAATTGGTTTGCTTAATATTAGTCTTTTTTTTTTTTAAATGGTCATATATCGAAAAACCGGCTTAGCAAGTAGCAAAGCACAGGCATAAGACAGTACAAAGAGAAAAAACAAAGTGTACATTCGATAGTTACATATGAAAAGAGACCATTATAGAAAAAAGGAGAGATATACCACTCATCTCATTTGCATAGAACACATTTGCTCCTACATTTGAGCCATAGATACGTCTTAGACTTAATGCAATCGACCCCTCTTCTTGGATTGATGAAAATGCTCTGAAAAACTCTTTCATTCCTGAATTTCCACATCCCCCACAGTAAACCATAACAGATGACTAACAACCTTCTCCTCCTTTTGTTGCATGTGCCCCAGTTATTTGCAAAATCAATAAGCTCACCAACACTAGTACATTGATAGATGCTAATTCCACACCACCTGAAAATCGAATCACGAATACTTGTAGCACAGGGGCAGGAAATTAGTAAGTGACATGCATCCTCTTCACAGCCTACACATGATCCACATAGGGACGAATTCAAGATGATCCCGCGGTGAGCAAGAGACAAAGCTGTTGGGATGCGCCCTTGAACAGCACGCCACACAAACCTAATGACCTTTATGGGGAGCTTCTTTACGCCATGTGACAGATGAAAAAGTTTGGGGTGCAGGGTTGTGGTCTATCATCTTCCTTAGTATATCCACCTTGTACTCGCCATATGCCGCCATCACACAGTACCAATGATCATCCCATCTCGTTAGTTTCTTTGTGATAATTTCGTTGTAGAGTAATCCTAGCTCACGCTCCAATCCACCAGATAACGGGCAAGATCTCCAGGAAACATTACCTGTAATTTTTTGGGCTACTGTACAATTTTTTACTGAATCAAGGTTATATAATTCTGGATATTTAACTTTCAGTGATTCGCCACCCACCCATTCGTCCTGCCTAAATAAAGTTTTTTCACTAGATTCCACCACCAGCCTGAATATATCAGATAAACTTATACCCTTTTTTTGGATCTCCTTCCTAGTTGATGCTATATTGATCCATACTCCTAGAATGTTCCTATTTGAGAGCTGACCTAATGGCTTACCCACAAGTTTATGAATACCATTGATTACCCGACACCAAAGAGATGACGTCTCATTCTTTAGCCTTCACCACCATTTGACTATTAGGCCAATATTAAGGGCTCTAATGGAGCTAACACCCAAGCCACCATCTGCCTTAGAAGCCATTACCTTGTCCCATGATACCCAATGAATTTTCCTATCATTTTCATTACCGCCCCATAGAAATAACCTGCGAATCGCCTCCACTTTGTCCACCACCCCACAGGGAGCCATGAAAATGGATAGGAAATAAGTTGGAAGATTACCGAGGACGGATTTAACCAGAGTCAAATGACCCCCGAAGGACAGTGAGTTTGCTTTCCAAGAAGAGAGCTTGGAGTTGAATTTATTAATAATATGTGCCAATGTTTTTTCAAATTCATATTTGCCCCAACCGGGACACCTAAATAGGTGAATGGTAGAGAACCTGGTTCACATCCAAGAATACCTACCCAATTCGCGACTTCCAATGGATTGGCACCTATGCCGAAGACATAAGATTTGTGAAAATTGACCTTTAGACCAGACGAAACATGAAAACATTTAAGAATACGTGCGGGGTTTTTGAGGTTCGAACGAGACCATTCACCAACAAATAGTGCATCGTCGACATAAAATAGGTGAGACAGAGCAGGACCACCATCCGGAATGTTTATTCCTCTGAATGAACCTTTCATCACAGCAGATTGGAGGGCAACGTTTAATCCTTCCATTGCGATGATGAACAAGAATGGTGACAACGGGTCGCCTTGACAGACACCACGGGTGATATGGAACTCATTTGTGGGAGCCCCATTCACTAGGACTGACGCTCGCGAGGAGGATAGACATCCCCGAATCCATCCTTTCCATCTGTTACCGAAACCCATTTGTGATAGAACAAAATCGAGATACTCCCAGTTAATAGAGTCGAACGCTTTGTCAAAATCAACTTTGAATAATAACACCTTCTTCTTGGTCTTTTTAGCCCATGCAGATATTTCATTTATAATTAATGGACCATCTAATATGTTCCTCCCATCCACATACGCCGACTGTACCTTACCAATAATTGACCCGATAACAGATTTGAGTCTAGTCGCCAGGGTTTTTGAGATGATCTTATAGAGACACCCTATAAGACTGATA